ACAGCCAAGTTGCAAGTTATATGCGGATGAGAGGCTGCAGTAACACGCGGATCAATCAATAAAAATTTCAACCCTATATTCGGAATAGAGGCTACAGTCAACCGGCATATGTATATGTACTCTACCAAAACGAATCAGGCAACAACAAAGGCGATATATTTTTTCATCAATTCTGGGCTAAAATCCGGATAACAACATAATATTTTTTTTTTGCTTAAAACTAGTTAAAAATTAAACCCTAAAAGAAATACTTTAAAATCTAAGATCACAGATAATATCACAGTTCTAAGTTTCTTCAGACCTTGAGTTATATAGAAAAGGGTATACTTGTTCATGTGTATATTCATACTTTTCACTTTTCTTTAAATGCATATTCTAAAAGCATGGAAAAAAGGCATTAAATGCAATGGAGGCTAATGATCATTAGCACAACATCAGCTACGCTCAGTTTCAATTACTTCACGTCAGCTTAGGCAGTGGCTCTCTCTATTTTCCTGCCGCTACCGAAATTTCAAGAGAAGCAGAAGAGTAGCTTGAGTAAGAAAAACTGAGTGAGGGCATATATAAAAGTAGTTTGACAAGTCGACGGCAACATCTACATACTAGTACAGTCTATCCCCGCAGTTGCGATTATTACCTTTATTCTTGTATGAAAAAAAAACTATAATTAAAAAGTTTAGATTTGGTTATTGGAGCTTAAATAAATATTATGATAAGTGCAAACTAATCTAAAGAAAGTTTGAAGTAAAAATATATTAGTTTCCCTTTAGTTAGTAGCGTGTAATAACTACGGAAGAAGTAGGAAAAAAATAGATGGATAAGAAGGAAATCGGAGGAAAGTTAAGGCCTCGTGTAGATAATTAACTAAGAGGAAATGTTAAACTGCAAAAATCGGTGAATTTTGACTTTTGAATGTAGTTTAAAAGGTTTTTAGGAGGTACGCGTAACCGGAAGCTTCCTAAGGATTCTGTATGAGTTGGTTGGCAGCGGAGTTCAAAGGTTCATAACAGATAAAATGGCGCCCAAAGTGGGGCCTGCGAAAAGGTAGTTTTATATGTAGGTACATGATTTGTAAGTTCGTGGACATCACTATTTGGATTCATCTTCGGAATCTGTTTATCGTCTGTCTGGTTGAGGAAAGTGACAAGACAAAGTTTTGGAATT